TGTACTTTTTCCACTGTAGTTCTATTCTTTCTTTTTATTGATACAGAGCCTCAAGCTGTTGCCCTGGGTAGAGTTCTGCAGAGTCACAGCTCACAGCAACCTCCAACTCCAGGGCTTAAGCAATTCTCTTGCCTCAGCCTCCCAAGTAGCTAGGACTACAGGCCACAATGCTCAGCTATTTTTTGATTCTAGTTGTCGTTGTTGTGTAGCAGGCCCAGGCTGAATTCGAACCCACCAGCTCTGGTGTATGTGGCTGGCACCTTAGCCACCTGGGCTATAGGTGCCGAACCTGTAGTTCTATTCTGTACAGGTAATCCCAACCTTCCATTCCATTAAATACCTTAGATGCATGTTCTAAATACTGTTTTCCTGCAGACATCTGAGTAAGCAGACGAAATTTGTTGTCTTGAAGTACATAGATGCCCTGTTTCAAAAACAGAAAAAACATCAAAAGGCAATGTAGTTTATAGATTTTAAGATTACCTTATTCATACAAAATAATTTGAAAGTTATTAAAATTCACCTTTCCACTGGTCAAATTTTCTTTAAAAGGCAGTTTGCAGTGTTCAAGCTTTAGGGTTGTGAGTTCAGTACTTCATAACATTAGTATTTACTCAATTTTTTTTTAAGAGACAGAGTTTCACTCTGTCAACCAGACTGAAAGCTCACTATACCCGCCTACTCTGGGGGTTCAGAGAATCTTCTCACTTTAGCCTCCCAAGTAGGTGGGATACAGGTGCATGCCACCATGCCTGGCTAATTATTATTTATTTTTTTTCGTAGAGACAAGGATTTACTGTGTTGCCCAGACTGGTCTGAAAACTCTTACCCTGAAGCAATCTTCCCACTTTGGCCTCCCAAAGTACAGGAATTAGAGGCCTGAAGAGCCATGGCACGCAGCCATTAACTGTTTTTACAATGAAGATATGAAGATACATAAAACAGTCTCTATCCTTAAAATACTCACAGTCTATGGCAAAGAAATCGTTAATACACGCTCGTGTGAAATTAGATGTTGTATATAATTGAATCATGCCCACAAAGTCAGCAATCAGAGTTACTTTTTCCAATTCAAGTAATTCCAAGCTTAAGTTGATATTGTTATATGAGAAAATTAATTCTATTGGTAGTATCAGAAATATTATTTTAATTTACTTAAACAAAATACCAGATCTGGGAGCAGCACCTGTAGCTCAAAGGAGTAGGGCACTGGTCCCATATGCCAGAGGTGGCAGGTTCAAACCCAGCCCCACCCAAAAAAAAAAAAACCATATCTGGGCAGGAAAGGTAGCTCATGCCTATAGCTAACACTTTGGAAGGCGAAGGTGGGAGGACTGCTTGAGGCCAGGAATTCAACACTAATTTGAGCAATATAGAGAGACCCTGCCACCATAAAGAAATAGAAAAATAAGCAGAGTATGGTGGTACACAGCTGCAATCCAGCTAATTAGGAAACTGAGGCAGGAGACTGCTTGAGCTCAGGAGTTTGAACATACAGTGAACTATGATGATGCCACTCCACTCTAGTCCAGGCAACAGAGCAAAACCATCTCCCCTACACCCCCACCACCACCAAAATGCCAAATCCACTGTATTTCCTTGAAGCTTATAAAATAAAATCAATCTATTTAAATATATAGTTTTCTATACAATCTACTAATTTTGTAATAAAATATTTTCAGAATAGAAAATATGGGCTCAGTGCCTGTAGCTCAGTAGTTAGGGTGCTGGCTACATACACTAGGGCTGGCAGGTTCGAACCTGGCCTGAGCCTGCTAAACATTGACAACTACAACAAAAAATAGCCCTGTGTTGTGGCAGGAGCCTGTAGTCCAAGCTACTTAGGAGGCTAAGGCAAGAGAATCGCTTAAGCCCAAGAGTTTGAAGTTGCTGTGAGCCAGGGCACTCCATTATGGAGGGAAACAAAATGAGATTCTGTCTCAAAAAAAAAAAAAATTAAAAAATATGACATAAATAATCAGTAATGCTGGCCAGGCTTGGTGACTCAAGCCTGTAATCCTAGCACTCTGGGAGGAAGAAGCAGGTGGATAGCTTGAGCTCACAAGCTCCAGACCAGCCTGAGCAAAAGCAAGACCCCCATCTCTACTAAAAATAGAAAAACTGAGGGAAGGGGATTGCTTAAGCCCACAAGTTGGAGGTTGCTATGAGCTGTGATGCCACAGCACTCTACCCAGGGCAACAGCTTGAGACTCTATCTCAAAGAAAAAAAAACGCAAAGGCTCGGCGCCCATAGCACAGTGGTTAAAGGCGGCACCACATACACCAAGGCTGACAGGTTCAAAACTGGCCTGGGCCTGCTAAACAACAATGACAACTGCTCCCCAACACAGCCGGGCATTGTGGTGGGTGCCTGTAGTCCCAGCTACTATGGAGGCTGAGGCTAAAGAATCGCTTAAGCCCAAGAGTTTGAGGCTGCTGTGAGCTGTGATGTCATAGCACTCTATTGAGGGTGACACAATGAAACTATCTCAAGAAAAAAAAATCAATAATGCAAGAGTTACTTAAGCATAAAATATGCTCTATAAATTAGACCTTAGCAATTACTCTAAAGACATAAATATATTTGTTGTTCCACATATTAACACCCTAATAATAACAACTAAAGAATCAAATTCTGAATCCTACATCATTCTAACATTTACTACTTTTTAAAATTTAATGTAACTCATACAATTGGGGAAAAAGAACAGCCATCGTTATTGATAACTGTCCCCTTGTCTTTATTCACTTTATCCTAATAGAGGAAAAACCTAATGACTCATTAATAACATAATTAAAACATTCCAAAGTTGAACAGAAATTATTTTAAGTTTTAAATAGTAAATCACTAAAATAGGACCTTCATAATTTAGAGGACTTAAAAAAATAGGCCTTAATATATCTAAATACCTGATGATTTGTCCTTAGATTATCGATTTGTTTCTTGAATACTGTAGTCCAAAAATCTTTACAAATGAACTTCATGATATCTAACTCATCCTTGAATCTTGCAGTATCTTTTGTAAACCTAAAAAGATCAACTAGAAGTGACACAGTAGTTTTCCTCCAAAGAAAGCGAGAAAGGTAAATTATTAACTAATTTCCAAATTCCAGAACAGCATTGAATTTTACTGACAGTCATAAAGTGATAGGCACCAAGCAAATTAGATCCCATCTCAATGACTTCACTTTGTTACATAATTACTTTGTACCTAAAATTAGTCTAATAATAAATCAGTCCAACAGTATAGCCAAACTTTCAGGTATAATTCATTCTAGAACATTAAAAAAGAGAGCGAGCCGGCTCAGCACCTGTAGCTCAAGCGGCTAGGGCGCCAGCCACATACACCTGAGCTGGCAGGTTCGAATCCAGCCTGGGTCTGCCAAACAACGACAACTACAACCAAAAAATAGCCAGGCATTGTGGTGGGCACCTGCGGTCCCAGCTACTTGGGAGGCTGAGGCAAGAGAATCTGTTAAGCCCATGAGTTGGAAGTTGCTGTGAGCTGTGATGCCAGAGCACTCTACCCAGGGTGACAGCTTGAGGCTCTGTCTCAAAAAAAAAGAAGAGAGAGAGCCAAGCATGATAATTATAGTGTTATATAAAATACAACTGGAGTTGAACTACATAGATAATAATAAGAATTCATCTTTTGTAAGCTACAGTTCTGCTAAAAAAAAAAAAAAAAACTTGGTCCTATAAATTGAAAGATATATACATAAACATAGACCCTCAGGCATTTCCATCCCTTTGCACTTAAACATATTTCTATTCAGGTAAAAGAACCTATCAGACCTTAAGCAGGAAATGCAAAAAAGTTTCAGATAGTTGTTTCAATATGCCAACATTTTCAGGAAAAAAAAATCTAAAATACATATTTTCTTCAAATACTAAAACATAAAATTTGAATTTGAATAACTGAGTTAAAATAGCATTGGACCTAAAAATATTTTTTCTTTTCTTTTTGCAGTTTTGGCTGGAGCCGTGCTTGAACCCACCACCCCCAATATACGGGGCTTGCACTCTACTCCTTGAGCCACAGGCGCTACCCCTTAAAAAGAATTTTAATCTGTGAATTAAAGCAAAGAATCAAAATTTGGATGTCAAGTTTTATGCAGTTTTTTTCAAATGGATCATTTTTGTTCATAACCTACCTGGAAGAAAATTTTCAAATCCGTACTGCTCACCTTTCTATCAATCCTTGTCCCACTCGAAACCCCATGTTTTCCAGCTTAGTAATACATCGTCCATTTTCCTGTTTAAAAAAAAATAATAGTTTTGAATACTTACAGAACACCAGGACGTTAGTATTCAAAAGTAGTTTTAAAATACTGGCTAAAAATATCAATGTAGATATTTATGTTTTTTTCACTGAAATGTTTTAAGAAAAAGTGAATTATAAGATATCCTTGAATTTTCTTAGTATGAATCATTTTCTAAACAGCAATGCTGCTTATTATTACCCCTTCGTAATTACTCTTCCTCTCCTCTTTTTTCCTATTTTCAACCATTCTTCTCTCCTACAAGGTCTGAATTAAAGTCACAAACTTGCCACCGTGGGCTTATGTTAGCAGCATTGTACAATCAACTTGGTACAGTTTCATAACTTTGGAATATCAATCAGTGTCTCACAGTTGTACTCGTGTGGACATGTAGTGGTGTCTTGCTGAATGGCAATCATTACCCTTCTTGTGTGTTTCTGTGAAGAATGTCAGAGCTTAAATTAGAGCAACAAACATTCCTAATTTTTGTTAAACTTGGCAAGAGTGGAAATGAAATCAGGGACATATTAGTCCAAGTTTATGTTAGGATAATGCTGTGAAAAAGACAGCAGTGTACAAATGGATGAAAAGTTGTTGGAGGGGAAAAAAAAGTGTTACTGATAAAGAGAGGTCAGGGCAGCCAGTAAACGAGCAGAACTGACAAAAACATTGCAAAAATTCATTAAATTGTGCATCAAAATCATCGGCTGACTGCAAGAAGCATAGCAGACCAAGTAAACCTCAATAGAGAAATAGGAAACTCTTAACTGAAAATCTTGGCCAACACCTCCTGGCTCTTGTATCACAACAAAGCACCAACTCACAGGGGACTGTCTGTGAGGGAGTTTTTAGCCAGTAAACAAATAACTGTATTGGAGCATACTTTCTACTCACTGATCTGTTTCTTTACTCCAATGACTTTTTTCTTTACCTGGCTCACCCTCCCAATAGCTAGGACTACAGGTGTGCCCAACTGTGCTTAGCTAATTTTTTTTATTCTTTGTAGAGACGGGGTCTTACTGTGATACCCAAGCTGGTCTGAAACTTCTGGCCTCAAGGAATCCTCCTTGTCTCAACATCCCAAAGTGTGAGGGTTACAACAGTGAACCAGGGCACCCATTCTAATCTTTTTTTTTTTTT